ATAACAGACCTCTATCTTAAGACTTCAGGATATAAAACTTCATATGAAACAAAATTCCAATTTTGGGGGTGGGGGAAAGAATGAAAGCAAATAATCTAACATGTAAACAGTGATAGGATAGTGTAAATTTTAATTTTTTTTGTAAAGAAAAACTATGATCAAAATCAGAAAAAGAAATTAATCAGGCAAATTAAATATTTTTTATAGATCACAGACCAAATTCCAGATACTCTATTCTTCTCAATTTTTTTTTAAAAGATTTATTTATTTATTTATTTGACAGAGACAGAGACAGCGAGAGAGGGAATACAAGCAGGGGGAATGGGAGAGGGAGAAGCAGGCTTCCCACAGAGCATGGAGCCCGATGTGGGGCTCAATCCCAGGACCCTGGGAACATGACCTGAGCCGAAGGCAGACACTTAACCGACTGAGCCACCCAGGTGCCCTATTCTTTTTAAAAAGAAGTTTCTAGGGACGCCTGGGTGGCTCAGATGGTTAAGCTTCTGCCTTCGGCTCAGGTCATGTTCCCAGAGTCCTGGAATCAAGTCACACATCGGGCTCCTTGCTCGGCAGGAGCCTGCTTCTCCCTCTGCCTGTCACTCCCTCTGCTTGTGCTTGCTCTCACTCTCCTCCTCTCTCTGACAAATAAAATAAAATCTTAAAAAAAAAAAAAAGTTTCTAAAACCACCAGCATGACTAAAATTTAAAACAACCAAAAACAGGGCGCCTGGGTGGCTCAGTCGTTGGGCGTCTGCCTTTGGCTCAGGTCATGATCCCGGGGTCCCGGGATCGAGTCCCGCATCGGGCTTCCTGCTCGGCGGGAAGCCTGCTTCTCCCTCTCCCACTCCCCCTGCTTGTGTTCCTGCTCTCGCTATCTCTCTCTCTGTCAAATAAATAAAATGTAAAAAAAATAAAAAAATAAAAAATAAAACAACCAAAAACACCAAGTGTTGGTAAGGATATATAAATCACTTGGAACTCTTAATCTGCTTGGGAGTATAAACCGGTACAAGACTTTAGAAAACTCTTGGGCTGTGTCTACTGAAACAGCATATTCTCTACCTATAGTCCAGCAATTCTACTCCTAGATATATACTCACAGATTACTGATCTCTGCAGTACTGACATTTTGAGTCAGATAAATCTTTGGTTGGGAGGGCTGTTCTGTTATGAGACTTTTAACAGCTCTTAGCCTCTACCCAACAGATGCCAGTAGCACACTCCAGAGCTGTGACAATCAAAAATATCTTCAGACATGGCCAAATATTCCCTGGAGATCAAAACTGCCCAACCCCTCAGGTTGAGAACCACTGGTATATACCCAACAGAAACATATACCTATGTGCATCAAAGAGACACATGTAAGAATATGTACAGCAGCACTACTCGTAACAGCTAAATACAGGAAATTTACTCAAATGCCCATCACTAGCAGAATGAATAAATTAAATGTAGTTATTCGAAGGCTGGAATACTGTACAGTAATGACAATGCACTTCAACTCTGCACAAGAGTATGGATGCATATCACAAATGTAATGCTGAGTAAAAGAAACGTGACACAAAAGTAGATACTGTATGATTCCACTACATAAAGTTGAACAACCAAAAAAAATAATCAAAGGTGTCAGAAGTCATGGTAAGTGCTCATTCTTGTGAGGGAGGACAGAGACTGGAAGAGGGTGCTGGGAATGTTCTGCTTCTTGAGCTGTATCCTGACACAGGTGTGTTCAATTTATAAAATTCACTGAGCTGGACACTTAGGATCTGCACACTTTTCTGTTACGTTACACTTCAATAAAACACTTAACAAAACAGAGTTTCAATATCTAAAATGATTATATAGTACTTCTATAACAATTTTCCTCCAAAGTAGCTTAATATTCTGGTCTCTATCACATAAGCCTTTTCTCAAGTAAAAGAACAGCTACTTAGAGGACGTTCTATTCTATAAGGTATACTGTTTTCTCAGATAATAACGTACATGACTATATTTCACAACTTAAAAGAAAAAATAACTTACGTCTTCCATATATTCTGGCTCTGATGCAGAGGCATCCCAACGATTATTCAAAATGAAAATATTAGGCTTGGAAAGTCGCTCATTTACCTTGTGAAAAAACTGCTTTTCCTAAAAAACATCAAATACCCAAGAGTATGTTCACTTTTAACAGCTATTTTATATTTACATTTATAGTTGAAGCTCTAATCTAAAAGTTTGAACCATTTAGACAACAGTGATTAATACCCATTGATAAAGGATCCCAAAGCACTGAACATTACACTTCTCAAAGATGAGAAAACTAAATTATAAGAAGGCAAAACTGAAGATTTTCCTGCTCCTGCCATGAGTCTTTTCTGAAATTCAATTTAACAAATATTTGTCTCTACTATTGTGCAGAACACAATCGATATTGGGTATTACAGTCCATATTTTCAAAAAGCTACCTCAAATCTTTCTAAAGATTTAGACTAAGTAAATTAATAACAGTGTAAGACCTATGTACATCATAATAAGCAACAGAGAAACGTATGTGCCTTAAATGCTATAAATACATGCTATGCTTATTTAAAGGAAAGAAACACCATATCTAGTTGGAATTAGGAAAAACTCCATAAAGAAGGGAATGGTGATAAAGATGTGCTTAAAAGTACTGATAATGGCTTTCTGAAAAATAAGAAGCTGGGAGCGGGGGAAGAATTGTGGGCAAAGAATAGCATAAACAAAGACATAGAAGTCAGAATGTACATCAAAGCTTATTTATCAATATCCAAATAATGAGGTTGTTCTAAAAAAGATTTAAAACATTAATCAGTTCTCATGAGATTATAAACAACTGTCCATGTTGTCACAGCAGCCTGGTCCACGTGATATAGATCAGGTTATACAAAAACGAGTAACAGTGGCAAAACAGAGGTCTTTGCTGGTAACATCTAGGTTATAATGGTGCTTGGCCACTAATATGCTTCTGAGGAATAACAGTTTTAAAAAATCATACCATAGTTTTGGATATTAGATATCTATAAACTCTGAAGTTTATGTGGGATGAGTCTGGCTCTAGACATCCTGGATAAATAATCTAATCTATTAGGTTTGACAGTGGCGTAGAATGTACACAGGTAAGCTGGAACCTAGAGTGTACACACGTAAAGCTGCGAAAGGTTGACAAGACTAGAAGTATGAAAAGCCTAACAATTCTGGTGCCCATTCCTTCTGAAACTGGCAAATAACCACAATCAATGGCAACACCACACATGTGTCACACCTTGAACTTAAAGATTTACTAGAAGCTAGAGCCATCAAACCCTAGATTCCCAATGGGAACACTCAAGAAGACCAGCATCAGCTTTTCCAGTCCCATGGAAACACAAACTCCTTTGTTTACCCTGGATTCTTTTTAATCCATGATTTGGATTTCCCTCACTTTTCAGAATAGACACTCATTTCCTACCACTCAAACATAGTAATGTGATTAAATCCTACCGTGTTCATTAGTGTTGATTCAGAGTTTGCAACCAAAACGAAGACATCAGCATCTAAGCAGAACTTATCAATCCAGCTATCCAGCTCTGTAGTGACATCTGTACCTGGACTAATGGGAGTAAGAGAATACTGTATTTTATAATATTTTTTAAAAAGAAAATTTGATTATAGAAAGACATTTTTTTAAACTTTTATAAATTGAAGTCTAAAGGACAGGATTTCTACCAGTTTTTAGCACAAAGCCTAAGAGATTTACTTTTTCACCTATAAGAGAGCACTTGTGGCAAGCTGATTGTGTTTTATAAACTTCAATATTTATTCTGCTGACAAAGAAATCTCAGAGCCTATCCAACTGACAACAAATGCTTAAAAAAAAAAATAGTTTATTTACTAAAAAGAAATAAACTTGGGCGCCTGGGTGGCTCAGTCAGTTAAGGTTTGTCTTCAGCTCAGGTCACGATCCCAGGGTCCTGGGATGGAGCCCCATGTCATCAGATCCCTCAGTGGGAAGCCTGCTTCTCCCTCTCCCTCCGGCTCTCCCCCCTGCTCGTGTTTTAATAAATAAATAAAATCTTTAAAATAAAAACAAATAGGGGCGCCTGGGTGGCTCAGTCATTAAGCATCTGCCTTCGGCTCAGGTCACGATCCCAGGGTCCTGGGATCGAGCCGCGCATCAGGCTCCCTGCTTGGTGGGAAGCCTGCTTCTCCCTCTCCCACTCCCCTCTGCTTGTGTTCCCTCTCTTGCTGTATCTTTCTCTGTCAAATAACTAAATAAAAATCTTACAAAAAATAAAATAAATAACCTTGTGATTTTTGACAAAGTAAGTAACATGGTCAATATTTTAATCTTTTAAATCCTTATGCTTTGGGTGGATGAAAAGTACTAAAAAAACCAAAACCAAAACCAAACAGGCTAATATATAACCAAAATCAAAGGTGCAAGCAGCTGTGTCCAGTACAGCTCAGAAAATATTTAAGTGCTCATGAGCATAAATAATAAAACACCCTCTGCTAAGACCTAAGTTTAATATACTATCTATACTATAAAAATTATAGTGCAACTATCTACACACTGGCTTGATGTATCCTGTGACAATGTGGCAAGATGAGAGGCTGCGGTCATGGACATAGTCTGGCCATGAAATAAAGCAAAATTAAAAGCCCATCACCAAAACCAAAACGGTTTCCATACAACATTGAAATTTTAACCGAGAAAACAAAAGAGCATACCAAAATTATGAAAAATCATTTAACTACCTTTTTTAGTTAAGGACATTGCTTAGCAGATGTACATTATCATTTTACTTAGCACCAATGTAGTAAAAGAACACATAATAAATGAAGACTCATCAGAAGAGTCAAAACAAAATTCCAGAAGTATTCAATTAATTCTTGAACAATGAAAAGCTATGTAAACTGTCCAGTAAGTTATTTTGGGAAACGGGTCTCAGCATAAATTTATTACTAGGGTGCCTGGGTGGCTCAGTCAGTTAAGCGCTGGACTCTTCGTTTCAGTTCAAGTTGTGATCTCAGGGTGGGGAGACCAAGCCCTGTATCAGACTCCAAACTCAGTGCCAAGTCTGCTTGAGATTCTCTCCCTCTGCCGCCCCCCTCCCCCACTGCATAAGTGCGTTCTTTCAATTCTTAAAAAAAAAAAAAAATGTATTACTAGTTAAAAAAATTTACCTAATCAGAGTTACCTACCTCGTTATCTAGAATTAGATAATCTCTAAGGCCCAGCTACTTACCCAAACTACAATCTAGAGGGGAAAAAAAGTTTCACTATCCTTGAAATTTCTCCTAATAGAATTAGACTAAGAAACTGGCAATTTATGTAACCAGTAAAAAACATAAACCAACACCTTATCTGCTCCTTAACAATCTAACAAATGAGAACAAAGCAGCAACTAAACATTTAAATTTTTATGTATTATATGCTAAAGCAAGCAATACTATTTTTTTTAATTTTTTAACATACAACGTATTATTTGTTTCAGGGATACAGGTCTGTGATTCATCAGTCTTACACAATTCACAGTGCAAGCAATACTATTCTATTAAATAAACTTTTACAAGGAGAAAATGCAATTCATATGTAATTTTACCTGTCCACTAAAACCAGGTCATCTCTCAAGAGGGCACATTTTGCCTTTGGCCAAAATACATGTACAAGACAGCCAGCTTTCAAGTCTTTGTCCATATGAAGGGCATGGGCCAGCTGATTAACTGTCTAAAGTGGGAGGGAAAGAAAAAACAAAACTCTGCTTGTAATAAAACTCAATAAAAATTAAAAACACTATGATTTGGTATATTTATTTTTGCAAAACATATACAAAAAGCAGAACTTTAAATAATCTGAAATAAAACCATCTCAGCAATCTTGAGAAACTGAGTTTTAGAATTACCAAGGGGGGTGGGGGCGGGGGCGGGGGGGAGGAGATATCCTTAAAACAGTTTACTCATCCACTCTGCAAAAATAAGCAGAGCTGGTAACACTCTATAAATGCCCAATAAGTGAATTCTGGCAATGGAATCCTATGTAACACCTGAAATTGATATTATATGTATGAAAACAAATTTACAGTATATTAAGAGAAAAAAGGCAAGTCAAAACAGCACACATGAAACCATTTTGTTTACAAAATACAAACACATTTAACTCTATACCACAAGGAAGTTTCCACTGGCTTTAGGAAGCATGTGAGTTTTGGAGTTTATTTTTGCCCATTTGTATTTTCTGTCTCTTCTAAAATGTACTGCTCAGTAGTAAGGGGTGAAAATAGAAGAAACATTATTAAGATAGTTTAAAAACACCAGAATAATAAGACTAAAACAATACAAGAGAAGCTCAAGACATATCCTTTTAATAAAGGATTTTTTTCAGCAGGCAGTTATTTACTTACATAAGCCTGCTTGACATCAATGACTATGCCTTCTCTTTCCATTTGAATTCACTAAAATATTTCTGTTTCTCAAGATGATTTCTGACATATGCTAATTTATTAATGTGTTACTTTAATACCATTCATGTATGTGTTAAATATACAATAGATACAAAGGGCTTAATATAAAATTAATATTCAAGGAAAGGACACCAGCACACATACAAATGAACTGTAGGGGTATCCATTTTTAAAGGGAAACATCTATTTTCAAATTGGCACAATAGTCCTGATCAGGGTTGAGGTGAATCTCCATAGTGACAATGTTAGCTAGGTTTTATTTTTGCTTGCTTTCATAAACTTTTTGATAGAATTATAAACTTGTACTAAAATCTTGATGCCTGGTCTATAAAATTAAGATAATAAAAGCACCTATCCCTGGGTGGCTCCGTTGTTAAGCATCTGCCTTCGGCTCAGGTCATGATCCCAGGGTCCTGGGATGGAGCCCCGCATCGGGTACCTGCTCCACAGGAAGCCTGCTTCCCCCTCTCCTACTCCCCCTTCTTGTGTTCCCTCTCGCTGTCTCTTTCTCTGTCAAAAAATAAATTAAAAATCTTTAAAAACAAAAACAAAAAATAAATAAAAAATAAAAGCACCTATCTGACAGAGTTGTGGTGAGGTTTGAGTTACTGCAGGTACTTAGAATACTACCTGGTACTTAGTAAGCTTATTAGCTGTTAATATTCCATTTCTTTTACTAAGTAAACTACTACAGCACAAGACTCAAAGTCTGTACCTTAAAGCAGGCCACAACTTGAGGTAAACAAATTGAAATTTTGGAGTTGGGGAGAGGAGCAAAAGAGCATGAAGGAAGTGGATTGGAAGTAGAGAGCACAGACCAAGAAAAAGGAGACGATTACTTTAAAATATCATATACATTTTACTTTAAGGATCTAAGGCCAGTTTGAATTCTGATTTGGTAAAAATCCTGATTAAGAAATAAGTGATTCCGTCATTTGTATGGGTTAAAACTTTGAAAATATTTTCTTAAACATCACCTCCTTTATTCCTCGTAATCTAAAGGGTATTACACAAATTGAGTTACCTGAGTTAAATCAAACAGCAAACTCACAGAACAATTAACTAGACCAGTGAATTCAACTCAGTTTTGCAAAAACTAATATGGCATGGATTTTAAACACTGAACTACTGCATTTGTGGGAGAGATCTTAAGACTTAAGAGAAACTGGGGGGGGGGGCGGGGAAGACTTAAGAGAAAGTGATAATACTGAGAAACACTTTTTTCCCTTCTTTTGGCTAAAGGAACCTAGTGGCACTGGGTTCCTTAAGAAATTTATGGAAGGGGGGCGCCTGGGTGGCTCAGTCGTTAAGCATCTGCCTTCGGCTCAGGTCATGATCCCGGGGTCCTGGGATCGAGCCCCACATTGGGCTCCCTCCTCAGCGGGAAGCCTGCTTCTCCCTCTCTCACTCCCCTTGCTTGTGTTCCTACTCTCGCTATCTCTCTCTCTGTCAAATAAATAAAATCTTTAAAAAAAAAAAAAAAAAAGAAATTTATGGAAGGTAGGGAATTGCCATTGGCCCTTTCTGATAAAACTGTTACATTTATTCATGAATGTGCTCATAAACGTTCCAAAGATAAAATAGTTTCAAAAGGCACAGACATGCATCAAAAACATTCCAGAGCCAAATTTTTAAACAAAGTTTTCTTTCAAAAGATGAAATTAGATTTGAGATTAAATAGCAACAATACACTTCAATAATGTTATTTTCACTGGGAACATTATTTTAAAATGTAATAAACTCTTAACTCTAATTTACTTTAAGGACAAGTTTTATTTTTCTAATAAGGTATGCTTTAAGATACATTCTTCTAATGATTTAGCTCTGAAGCAAAAAAATTTTAGAGAATTCAAAATATTAGTGATGGCTTTAAAGCTACAAATAGAAACATTAATGGTTCTTCCATCTCCAGCAATGTAGACATCTTAAAATTTTTTTTTAAAAAGAACAAGGACATTATTTCAGGTACATGTGGTTGCTAATAGTCAAATATTATACCTTCACACTCTTTTTTTCATCTGATCCTTCTGTCATAAGATAGGCTTTATCTCCATCAGTTCCTTCAACACTCAGGAAGCAATTGGTTGTATGGCCAATCCCACTAGGGAGGACTTTATCCCACAACATTGCATTGATAACAGAACTCTTCCCACTGCTTGTCCTGAAGAATATATAAAACCATGAAAATAAAACATAACAGTAAAAACTTTATTCTTTCATTGGGTTGAAGGCCAACCTTTTTAGAATTCAAACTTTGTAGAAATTTCATCAGATTGCATTTTTTACAAAAAAGTTGCCAACCTGATCTACACAGATATTAGGAATGTACATATCAGAAAAATAGAGGAACACAAATCCCACCTTTCCCATATAGCTATCCTTACCTTTTTTATCTTTCTTGCTTCTTGTGACAATTTGAAATCACAACCCCAAATTCTTCCCATCACAAGCTGTGGTCTAAAGTCCCCATCTCCTTAAATCTGGGCTGGACCTTTTTCATATCCAAAGCTATTACCTATTTCTCCTTCTCAAATAGGACAATGGAGTCATCACCTCACCAGGAGCCCTCTTCCTTCTCATTCCCACTCCACCCTAATCTGAGTTAGGGCCTATTTATGGACCTACCTCATACTACACTCTGTAAGGCCCTGAGAGTAAGGTCAAGCAGGAGAAGCAGACAAAAAAAAACTAACAAACAAACAAAAAAAACACACACAAAAACCCAGCACAGCTTTGTGGAAAAGGTTTAAAGGGCATAAACAGGGCACTTTAGAAGAGAATAAATGAGAAGGAATACTTTAGATACAACGGTCAGGGAAGGTTTCTGATGTTGTAACATTTAGGATGAGATCTGAAGAGTGAGAAAGAGCCAGACATAGATAAAACAAGGCAAAGGGAATTCTAAGTATAGGAAATCACAAGTACTAAAAAAGCCCTAAGATGGGCTTAAAAGTTAGTTTAGTGAGTAAATGTTTCTGTTGATACTCAACACATGATACGGGCCTACTCATCTGTCTTCGAATCCCTAGTGCCTAACAGAGTGCACAGTACACAGGAAGTTAACAAATGATTCTTAAATGAACATGAGCTGTGTCAGAGATCGCTCTATCACTCCAGATAGTTATGTTAACAAATGGCATTTCCTATTCTCCCTCTGGGAATCGTGAGGCTGAGAATCCTTTTGGAAGACACACCTGATAAATAAGAGAAACTTTAGAAAGTCACAAGTTATGCATATCATCTGTATTTCTATTCTTTGGACTGGCTAAGAAGCTGATTTTTAGACATCAGCATCCTTAAAAAGTAAAAATACAACTGACCTTTAGAAAGTTTCATTTTATACCAAGAGCTAAAATGAACAAATGCTTTCTCATGCTAATAGCTTTAACATTTAGCAAAGGGAGAAACTCTTTGTGGCGCAAAGGGGTAGGAATACCACTTGCTGAAATATCAGAAACAAAGTTGGAGATATGACTTAGAAAAGCTGATTTCTGGAAACTACCCTTGAGAGAAACAATAAAGGATTACCTGCCAAAAAATGCCACTTTCATATGTCTCCGAGACAGCACCTCACCAATGATGGAAAGCTTGTTTCTATAACCCTGTATTTCTATCAGATCATCCTCAGCAGCTATTTGATCAAGTTCTGGATTCCTGTATGTTGCTACAAAATTGAAATGGTGTTAGAAAAAGTGACAAAAATGAATATTGGGTTAATTATACAAGGGAATATCTAAGATATGCACACATTTCGCATATTTTGGCTCTGCTCTACATTAACATGGCCATTTTGAAAAGTAAAAATGCCACAGTATCTGAATATTTGATAAAAGGTGAATGCCTTGTTGCAACAGGTCATAAGAATCCAGCCCCCAAAATATCAAAATGATTAAAAATTACAGGGGCTATCCTCAAAAAGTTTGACTCTACCAACCTACCAAATGTTTCCCCAATGTCACTGAAGTATATAGAATCCCTCGCTTTTCATTGTACCCTTGACAGTCATGTAATCTTAAGAACCAGAAAAGATTTCAACAGTTACCTCCAAAGCAGTATTCCCCAGTAAGACATCCCTCACCAACCTTGTTTGAACGGTTACACTCACTTTAAGAAAACTTTTTTGTCCCTTTCCCCCACCACATTCCAGCCTCATCTGAGAAGATAGGTCTGAGATCTAGGCTGACAGCCGACTTGGGGAAGAGATAAGTATAATGGCTTAAATGTGCGCTGCCTGATTTTTAGTCTGGGCATTTACTAGCTAGGTGATCTTGGGCAAGTTGTTTAAATTTTCTGTGCCTTGGTTTCTTCATTTTTAAAATAATTGCAATTAGGGACGCCTGGGTGGCTCAGTTAAACGTCTGCCCGTGGCTCAGGTCATGATCCCAGGGTCCCGGGACAGAGTCCCACATTGGGCTCCCTGCTCAGCGGGGAGCCTGCTTCTCCCTCTGCCTGCCGTTCCCCCTGCTTGTGCCCTCTCTCCCTCTCTGACAAATAAATAAATAAAATCTTTAAAAAATAATAAAATATAATTGCAATTAAAATCTGTCCCAGCATTGATATGAGGATTAAATGCATTATTAATATAATAAAGAGCTTAGTGGTGTCATACATACAACCACTTATATCTTAGGTTATCAATACCACTTAATCTTCTTCCTTCGGAGGGCAGAAAAGGATTTTATTTGTTAGGGCATCTCTCCAAGAATATAGAGCAATGCCTCGTATAGGTGTTCAGTAACTAAGGGTGAAAGGATAAAGTACCTGCATATACTTTCAACCATATTCTTTTCAAAACTTAGAGAAACTAACCTTCCACAAAATGGGATCCTTCAGTAACAAACTCCAGTAATTGGTCAAAGATTGCAGTAATTGCCCTCTTGGCCAGCACAAAGTGCTTCAGTGGAGAAGCAGTTTCTGCCATTATGTTACTGGGGGAAGAAAATTAAAAGTTAGAAAAGTACAAATTAGGGGTGCCTGGGTGGGCATCCGACTCTTGGTTTCCGCTCAGGTTGTGATCTCAGGGTCCTGAGATCCAGCCCCACGTCAACCTCCATGCTGGGGGGGAGGGGGGGGTCTGCTTTCTGCTTAAGATTCTCTCCCGGCCTTTTCCCCCCTCCCACTCTCTCCCTGTGTCTCTCTCTAAAATAAATAAATCTTTAAAAAGAAAAAAGAAAAACACAAGTTAAACTATATGACAAAGACATGCAAATTAATGACACCATCCTACCACATTAACTCCCCAGTGAAATAAACTGTCAAAATACTTTTGGATAATTTTTTGAGAAATGTTTTAGACAAGCAATTAAAGACTACTTTTCAGTGACAGCCCATTAAAATAACTAACTCTATTGGCCAAAATCTTGGTTGCAATTTCTACCTATTTCCTTTTGGTGAAGATGAAACTAATAGTGGAAAACTGTAACAGGGTTAGTGAGATAAAGCAAGTTCGCAAACAAGTTTCTCAACCTGGAGCTCTAGCGGGTGGAGGTGGATACCCAGAGTGAGAAAACAAAATTCCAGTATCATAATGTAATTCCGACGTTTAAAAAAAAACTAGTTCTCATCACAACAAATAAGCAGGCAAGGCTTAAAGCGAGCATTAACGTTTCCAGCCAAAGCACCAAGAACTTCAAAGAATGTAAGTTATAACAAATTTCCTTTTCTGGTAACTTCTCATGAAAAAGACACCAAACAAAAACGATTACACGCCAGTCTACTCCCGGTATGTATGCGTGTGAAATGGAGCAGAGTGGCCACAAAAAAAAAAAGGCCGAGCCTTCCAGAGGGTCAGGAAATGACTTAGTGAAGGAGCTGCGTGGGAAAAGCGGGGTGAGGGCAACGACCCGGTTCAACCGGGTGTGAACACCTACCTTGGGGAAAGGCCTTCCACACCGGGCGCTGGAGCCCCGCCCGCGGAGCTAGGGACCGGACCTCACCACCGGCTCGCGAGCGCCAGCCCCAGACCCGGCTCCCCAGGCCCCGGGCTCCGGCCTCGCGGGCTCCGGCCTCGCGGGCTCCGCGGGCTCGACCCGGCCGAGGGCCCCGCTCGCAAATCCGCTCGCTAGCTCCTTTCCCGCAGACCGGCGGCGGCGCCTCGTCACAGAGCTCCGGCGCACGACTCCCCGCCCCCTGTCCCTGGCCGCACGAAGGTCACCCCGAGCGAAGTGAACGGGCCGACGGCCGAGGCAGCGAGCACTCACACTGTCCCGGCTCCAACTTGTCACCCGGCAACCGTAGACCAGCCTCAGCCCCCAGGCCTCCTCATCCTCCCAGGAGAAGCTGGGAAAAGGAGAGGAGGTGGGAGGAGTGCCAAAAGGGCGGTCACTTCCGGTTTCTTCTCCGCCCCGATTTTGTTTGGCTCCGTGGCCGGAAGTGGAGCTACGCCGACAGCCATTTTTCTTAAGGGCAGAAGGCTGGGCTTGTTGAGGCTAGGGAATGATACCAGAATGGTTTGCGTTCTCCCCGTGTGTCGGCCTCCCGTCTCTTCTCCCATCAAAGTCTCCAAAGCTCTGCCTAGTTTAGGCACAGCAAGCTTCCACTTTAGTGAGGGAGATCTAAAAAGGAGGTGGGGTGAACTGGGATGAGGTGGGGTTTGGGCTGCCAGACAAAAGGGATTTCTGCTTGCCGCAGCAGCCCCAATAAAGGAAAACCTCTTGACCGCTCCAGTACTCTCTTCCGTTGTGTAATTGGCTTCCTGTACTCTCTTCTGTTGTGTGATTGGTTTCCTGGGCTTGGAGTATGGCTCTGTGTGTGTGTGTGTGTGTGTGTGTGTGTTGAATTAATTACTTTAGAGGTGAGACTTAGGAAATTGGTACATTGTTGAGTGTTTTTCAAATTTTATACTTAAGAATCACCTGTGATCTTGTTAGACCTGGCTTCCTGGGCTTGGAGTATGGCTGTGTGTGTGTGTGTTGAATTACTTTAGAGGTGAGACTTAGGAAATTGATATATTGTTGAGTGTTTTTCAAACTTTATACTTAAGAATCACTTGTGATCTTCTTGTTAAGCTGCACATTCTAATTCATTGGGTCAGAGATGAGGCCTGAGTGTGCATTTCTAACATCCTTGGAGAGGGGCTGCTGCTGGTCTATTCCTGGCTTAACAGTTGGTCTGGAGGTTTCTTTCCAGAGCTAGTAAGTGAGATGCAGTTTTGCAAGTGAAGTCACTTCATCTTTGTGAGCTTCAGGCACGTCATCTATAAAACTGGAGTACTAATAATACCTACCTTGTAGGTTGTGCAAATTAAATGGGTCGATAGCATGTAAAGTGCTAATAACACTGCTGGGTATATAGTTAGAACTGGGTAAAGGAATATTAATATTCTATTGAAATAGATGAATATCAATTAAAAAATGAAATGAGATCATTTCAAATATGCTTCCTACTCCAAAAAAAAAAAAATGACAATGGGATAGACTATTGGAAGAAAAATGAGAAAAATTGAGTCACATAGGGTGATCCTTTCTGGGGAGATAATATTTCCTTGATTTTTCCCAGGAAGCCAATCCTTGGAATATTAGAGGAAGAGTGCCCCCAAACAGTGGGAATCGGAAGTCCAAATGCCAATAGGAAGGAGAGTGGTATGGTGGGTGAAAAAGAAAAGGCCAATGTATCTAGGATGTAGGGAGGGAGAAAAAAATGTGGGAGGTTTAGAGAGGTAGGTAGCTGTAGAATCCTATAGGCCAAGATCAGAAGTTTGGATTTTATTGTAAGTGCAATGGCTAGCTGTTTTAAACTTGGGGACTGATATGATTTACATTTTAAAAGGTCACTTTGGTTGCCCTGTAGGTACTGGACTCTACCAAGAGTCCACACAACGTTTATTAAAGGGCCAGCCCACTGGCTGGAATTAGAGGCATTTAATTTAAAAAATGGCTTTTAATATCAAGTAATATACTAAAGCCCTAGGCATAGTTGAGAAATAAACTGGAATCATTTGACTTCAGTGTTCTATGCTTTTTTAATCCCTTATCTTGTTTCACCAATCTCTCTCCACACCATAAACAAACACACACATAAACAGTACGCTAATCATTCAGCTAGGAATCCTGATATTGTACTTCTATCAGAATTTGTTTTCCAATAAAGATCTATTTCAGAGCGCCTGGGTGGCTCAGTTGGTTAAGTGTCTGCCTTCAGGTCAGTTCATGATCCCAGGGTCCTGGGATCCAGCCCTGCGTTGGGCTCCCTGCTCAGCAGGGAGTCTGCTCCTCCCTCTACCCCTCCCCCCTGCTCATGTGCTCTTTCACTCACTCCCTCTCTCAAATAAATAAATAAAATCTTATTTTAAAAAAAGATCTACGATAGATAAAGATCTGTTTATGTAAGAAAACTGCATTACAATGTAAATGACCACGGACAGTCGCATACTTGGCCGGTGGGAGGGTTACAGTGTGTATCAGTCAGGATTCAGAGGGCAAGAAATTTATCACAAAGAATTGTCTTCTGTGATTGTGAGGCCTGGCTAGGCAAATCCAAAATTTCTGGGGCAAGCTGTCAATAAGCGCAGATTGGAAATTCTTCTTCCTTCCTTTCTTCTTCTTTTTTTTTTTTTTATTAAGAGGCAAATTCAGTGGCTCTTAAAGGGGCAGAATGGAAATCCTTGGGCAGGACCTGATACTGCAGTCCACAGGCACCATTCGTTTTTAGGAAAACCTCTATTCTCCTCTTAAAGCCTTTTAACTGGTTGGGTCAAGCCTACCCACATCATCCCAAAATAATTTTCTTTACATAAAGTCAACTGCTTATAAATATTAATCACTAATACTTTCCCAGAAACACGTAGATTAGTATTTGATTGAATAACTGGGTATTATAGCCTACTCAAGTTGACACATAAAATTGTCTATCACATTGTTATGGACTATTTGGGAAAATTATTCAAAATTTATGATGTGTGGGACTCCTGGGTGGCTCAGTCGGTTAAGCGGCTGCCTTCAGCCCGGGTCATGATCCCAGGGTCCTGGGATCGAGTCCCACATTGGGCTCCTTGCTCAGCAGGGAGCCTGCTTCTCCCTCTCTCTCCCTCTGCTTGTGCTCTGTCAAAAAAAAAAAAAATCTTCAAAATTTATAATGTGAAGATCTTTTGACGCAGCAATTCTAGGAAAATAAGTGGACAGACACTTAGCTATAAATATATAACCAAATATAAATATATTTAAAAATACAAATAAATATTTAGTAAAATATTATTTAAAACCATGAAAAATTGTAAACAATCCAAGTGTCCCCCCAAAGGAGATGGGTTAAATAAATTATGGTATGTGGACAGTACGGAATATGATGTAGTCATTAAAGTTTGTTTTAGAAAAATACTTGAGGGCGCCTGGGTGGCTCAGTTGGTTAAGCAACTGCCTTCGGCTCAGGTCATGATCCTGGAGTCC